CCCTAAAACTGGATATTTTAAATAACAATGTGGCAACGAGATTCCCTCCCCCCTCCTCAGAGGTTTTCTTCTGTTGTTGTGCTGTTTATTTGGTGATTTTCTTTTATGAATTCTGTTAAGTCTGTATCCTTTGTTGTGAGAAGCCTCTGCTTGGTTATCCGAGTTTTCTGCAGATGGCTGGACAGTCCCTTAAAATGGCAAGTCTCTCAGGCTTTGGCAAGTGGCCCCTCATGTGCTGGGACCCCCCTCACTGCCACAGCGGTCAAGAACTGCCCTAGCCCTTACTTCCTGTTTGCTCAGTCTCCAGACCAAGCAGATGGGAGAGATAAACGTTGGCCATGCTATTTCCTGTGCGTGTGCGCAGCCTCCTAGATAAGGGGCAGTGAGTCAGAGCTTCTCAGTCTCCCAATTTTCCTTTCAACTTCTTGATCAGCCTCTTGTTTGCCTCAACTGATACCATCTCCCCAGTTAGCTACAATGTGACTGAAATGCCACTGTTTTTGACAAATGTCCCCAGGGATTGGGCTTTACTCCCATGTGAGCTCTCAATCAGGGAAAATAAGGACAATTCCTGTGGATGGGCGTTTCTGGGGAGCTGCCATTTGCGGAGTCTTGACAGTTCTCTGGGGATGGGGTTTCTGGGGAGCGTCAAGCCCATTGGGTCCCTCCAACGGCTGATTGCGAGGCTGCTGCCAGTTTTCACTGCTGGATTTCTGAGGCTGCTGGTTTTCCAGGATTCGGCCATTTTTCTAGAATAAAGTCTCGTCAGATTGTTGCAAGCCTTTGGTCACTTTCCGAAGTTCTGGAAACGTTTCTTGTGACAATTATTTTGTCAATGCTGTGCTGCTTTGATGGAACAGAAGATGTTCAGATGTCCTTATTCTTCCATAATGGAAGTGCTCGTCCCCTCAAGTTTACTCCTGATTAAATAATAAATGGGGGGGGGGATGGAAACTCCATTTATTTTGCTCTTGTAAAAATATTGGCCAAAAAGATGTTTAAAGTTTCCGAATCCAGAGCTGACAAAGATGAGAGGAAACCGGCTTTTTCTCACACACCACTGGTGGCAGTGTAGCTTTTCTAGAAAGGAGGCTTGGTACTTGTCCTTACAAATTGGAGTTGCAGAAAAATTCACGTTTTCCTGGTGGATCTGCCTGGGCCACAGATTCCACCCGGTTGCAGAGGGAGCACCGGTCACCCCGGCATGAGGGCAGGAGGGCTGAGAGGAAGAGAGTGGAGATACCTCCCCAAAACAGAGGCACGCAGTGCCACACAGTGCTGACCACACGTGGCCTCAACATGCGCAGGAACAGACAGGGAGGGAGGGAGAAGAGGGGCCGAGCCTTCCTGCCTAAGGAGGAGGGAGATGCCACGAGACTGCTGACTGGGCAAGAAGGGAAACGCAGGTGTCAGGGCAAGAGGACAGAGGGTTTGCGGCATGACTCTTGTGCACCTTTGAGAACCAGACCACAGAGGGGATGTAAACACCTTAAGCCAGTAGTTTGGTCCTGTGATCAATAGATGCCAAACTATCGAAGGCAAAAGTCAGTTAGAACACGCGCCTCCTTTTCTACAGGCCCAAGGTCCACACCCGGACCCAAAGGGGAGCCCAGGAGGATGGGAACGCCCCCTCGCGTGGGAGGTGCCCCTCCAGTTTTCATTTACAGCTGGGGAAATGGGGACCCAGATTTTGATGGGGGGCACATCTCAGAAGAGACTCTCCTGGGGAGGACAGGAGCCGGGTCTCTGTGCCTGTCGGGTATCTCTCGTTCTGCATTTCACATCCAGCCCCCACACTGGACCTCACTTACCCTGATTCTCTAGAGTGGCTCCGTGCCCGGGAGGGAACAGGGTCCTGAGCTGTGAAATGTTCTCCAGCTGGAGAGGCCTCCGTGGGTTCCCGATTCTTCCTAATGCTTCCCAGAGCCCTATTTGGGTATGGGGGGGGGGAGGGGGATGCCAGCCACTCCCCTGAAGCCCCTAGCCCAGTCCATATCCCCCAGGGGCTCTGAAATTCTCTACAGGGCAGACTGACCTGGGTGTATCACAGGGGTCTCCCTGACATAGTCCCGTGTCTGAAACTCTGTCTCCATCTCTGTCTTGGGGCTGGTCCACAGCGTCAGTGAGAAGGGGGTCCCCTCCTCTCCCCAAGACCCTCATCTCATCTCCTGCTTTTCCAAGACCCAAGGACCTGGAAGCAGATCCTGTGGAGGAAGAGCCCTCTGAGGGTCCTCCCTGTGTGGCTTCAGGGACCCCTCACCCTTCACTCCCCATCGAATTTGCAGGCAGGGGTCTGGATGTGAACGGACATTGTCATCAGGATGAACTGGCTGTCACAGCGAGTAAGCCCCCCAGAATTGCTGCCATGCAGAATGTGTTAGCTGTTCCCAGCCTCCCTCATTCTGGCCCCCAAGCCTCCACCTTTGGGTCACAGGGAACCTGAGCCTGGAGCCCACCCCTACCCCAGGTCACAACGGAAGTGCTCAGAGCCCAGGACTCTAAGGTGTGATGATCCCAGGCCATGGGCAGCAACCAGCCCAGAGACCCTGATCCCGTGGGAGGGCCTGGGTACCTCCTCCTCTCATAGAAAGCCATTTCTCCACTTCTGACCAAACCCCAAACCCGCTTGTCCTCTCTCGAGGGCTTGGATGTGTGTGCACGCACACACACAAACACACACACACACTCTCGTGGCCAGCAACTTATGGCTGAGTTTTTCTGCCTAATTAAGTCACCATTCCCACACTTGTCTTTGGAGGGTGATTCTTTCTTCTACTACCTTAAGATCTTTGTACTGTGTTTTTGAGAGATACTGAACTGAAATTGTTCCTTTCTCAGAATTTACTTTTCAGGGGCACCTGGGTGGCTCAGTTGGTTAAGCATCTGACTTTGGCTCAAGTCATGACCTCACAGTTGGTGAGTTCGAGCCTTGGATCAGGCTTGCTGTTGTTAACACAGAGCCTGCTTCAGATCCTCTGTCCCCCCCCCACACCTTTCCCCTCCCCTGCTCGTGCTCTCTCTCTCTCTCAAAAACAAACATTAAATTTTTTTTTTACTTTTCAGGTTTTGCAACCAGGCTATTCTGGTTTCCTAACACACATTTTCTATTCTTTAGGGGAGTCTATGTAAGATTGTCATTTATATTTTTCTAAAGTGTTTAGAAGGATTTGCTAATGAGGTGAACTGGGCCTGTAGATTTTTTGATGGGAAGATCTTAAACCTTAGATTCCATTTTTCGTGTCAGTTTCAGTAAGTTGTATTTTCTAGGAAGTTGTCCATTTTATCCAGATTTTCAAACTCTCTGGCATAGTGTTCATAATATCTTCTATGGGTTTTGAACTGATGTCTCACTCTCTTCCATCCTAATGGCTGAGGTGAGGAGAAAAGAGATGGATTTCCAGGCAGTGGAACACCATGAGCAAAACCCTAGCACAGCGACTCAATCAGCAGTTGAACCCCACACCTCCGTCGGTTTGGAGATTTGAGGCACATGCCCCAAGGGTATAGAGGGTCCCAACACCAGGTCCTGCTGATACTGGATAGGGCGTGGTGGGCAGAAGCAGCTGCCATTGACTGGATGGTTCCATCAGCCTGGGCTCCCAGAGACAACGTGAAGAGCAACCTTAGTCATGCTCTGGCCTGAAAACAGGGCACAACACCCATCCTGCAGGCTCCCCTGAGCCATTTGGGTGACGTCTCCTGCTGGCAGATATCTCCAAAAGTTATGCTCACTTGGGCACCTGGTGAAGCTGCTCCTCCACCAGCAGGACCCCAGCGCTGCCTGAGAGCCCAGGTTATAATTACCATCTGGCCCACCCATCCTATCTTATGCCAAGCTTGCTCTATCAGCACGGTCCTGACCTCTCTGGCCTCCAGCTAAGACCCCTGCCCCTTTTCTCAATGCCCCCATATCCACCTGGCTCCATGATCTGCTAAAAACAGATGTCATTGTGGGCCAGCTCCTTAGGCTTGGATGAAGCAGGGACCTACCGAGACAGTGGCTGGGACCCTCCACAGGCTGGAGCATAGCTGGCCATGGCCACGCTGCCATAAGGCCCAGAGACACCCACAGACACTAGAACACAGAACCAAAGAGAAACATGTCCTCGCTTTAAACTCAAAACTTAGCAGCGCCTGGGTGGCTCAGTCGGTTAATCGTCCGACTTCAGCTCACGTCATGATCTCATGGTTCGTGGGTTTGAGTCCCACATCGGGCTCTGTGCTAACAGCTCAGAGCCTGGAGCCTGCTTCAGATTCTGTGTCTCCCTCTCTCCCTCTGTCCCTCCCCCGCTCACACTCCATCTCTGTCTCTCAAAGATGAATAAACATTATAAAAAAATTTAAACTCAAAACTTAATTTAACAAATAGTGCTTCTTCACCTCTGAACAGAGGTAGGAGTTCCCCACTAGGAATGACTCATTTCTTTCACGGACCCTTCTATGTGTGTGTTATCTTCCATTTCAGCTTTAGGAACTAGGACTCTGGTATTTTTTTTTTTTTTAAGTTTTTTTTTTTTTTATTTCTGAGAGAGAGAGAGCGTGAGCAGGGGAGGGTCAGAGAGAGAGGGAGTCACAGACTGAAACAGGCTCCAGGCTCCGAGCTGGCAGTCAGCACAGAGCCCGACGCGGGGCTCGAACCCACGAACCGCGAGATCATGACCTAAGCGAAAGTCGGACGCTCAACCGACTAAGCCACCCAGGCGCCCCGTGGACTCTGGTATTTTTAAACAGTCTGATGTGATTGCCACTTTGGGCAATATTGAAGTGGGAGCTTGTGGCTGGAGCATCGGGGGGAGTCTCTCCAGACAGCACCCAGGGGACTCAATAATTTATGTCTATTCTTGACAACAAAATGTTTTTGAGAACTAAATGTGAGGCACACTCTCTGGTACGCATCGTGTAACACATTGCTGCTGCAGGAGCTTGTAAATTAGGTACGAGAAATAAAACGTTTAGCTGGCCAGGCCCTGGGGACTGGCCCTGAGAGGAAAGCAGCACGGTTGGCTGTAAGACAGAACTTTATTCCTAAATGGAGCTGGGGACTGTCCCCTGCCAGTGCTCTGACGCCCACCCCGGCCCCGACAGCTGCTGCTGAGCCTGAGAAGGGACAAGAAGTGGGTCTTGGGGGTGAGCTGTTTGAACTGAGGGAGGCCCCATGTCCCCTTACAGAGCCGCAGGCCAGCCGCCTGGGCTTTGGGCTGCGGCACCACTGCTGGCGGCCACCTCATAGCCCAGGAGGACATCCGGAGTGAGGAACTCGATTTGGGAGCACCCACTGCCCTCCGTCTCCTCTGGCTTGAGCACCTGGTGAAGGAGAACAGGTTGGGTTCCAGGAAGGGGCTTTCTGGTGCTGGCTGCAAAGGGGCCCCTGCTCCTCTGTGCGGTGGCAGTTCCTGGCGAGGCACTTAGTCCACGGGGTAGAAGGGAAACTGTCCCTGCCCCACAGCAAGGGCCCTCCAGGCCCGGCCTCTCGTCCCTCCCTCCCTTTCCTGTCCACCTGGACCCTTAGGGCAGAACCAGTCCCACCCTACCCCCATTTGTCCCCCGCTTTTATCTCGGTCCTTGTCTCTATTCTGTCCCACTTTCTCCTTATTCTTGCCCTTCATCTGTCGTTGTATCTCCCTGTCTCTGTCCCTCAGGCCCTCTCCCTTGATCTGTCTGCTCTCTCTGTGTGCCACCGACTTCTCTTGCCGTCTGCCCCGGCCCTCCTCTGTCCTCTTCCACTCTTCCCCCAAACCCCAACAACAGGCGGTTGCAACCTTGAAGCATGCTTTCCAGACCGTCCTGGCTTTTGGCATTGGCATCCGGGATGGGAGCGGCGGTGGCACGGGGGACGGGGACGAGAGGGAGCAGCAGCAGCAGCAGGACCAGTGGGCGCCACATGGCCAGGCAGGCAGGACGGCTGGCGAGGCGGTGAGGTCCGGGTGGTCAAAGCCCTTGCCGTTTGCCCAGGGACCGCCTCCCACTCCACCAACCTCCTCTACACCCCCTTCTCTCCCCTCCAACCCCCCCCCCACGAGACCTGCCCCTCAAGCCTAAGCCTCAATCACTCCTGACTTGCCCGCGGGCCGGCCTGTCTTCCCGCTCCCCTCGTGTCCGCCTGCTGCCCGGTCAGTGGCCTCCAGCTCCCCAAAGACAATTCTCGAAGGAGCGGCCCCAGAATCTACCGACCTCTCCTCCAGCCCGGAGTCCCTCCCCTCTGCCGACCACGGCTCGCTCCGAACCACGCCCCACTTCCGACCACGCCCCAGAGCATAGCCACGCCCCATTCATTGTTACGCGAACCCAGCCCTTCGCACAGCGACCACGCCCCCAGGACGTAGCCATGCACCACTATGGTTACGCACCACCCAACTGTCCACACAAAAGGACACGCCCCCAAGACACAACCACGCCCACCGCTTAACCACACCCCTAGAATCAAGGCAAACTTCCACCCTTGGCCACAGCCTGATCACAACAGGCCACGCCCCAGGGCAGAGCCACGCCTTTTACTAGTAGAGCAAGGCTCTGGAGACCCCTGGAGTGTGGGGACTCTCCTGTGTTCTGCTCGCGAAGTCCTGTGCCTTCTAGGTCCTTGGCCTTCCAGTTTGTCAGCTTGGAGAGCCCTTCCCCCACTGTGGTCTGGAAGATCTGTCCAGGTAGCACGCTGGGCACCCACGGGGACCACTGTCCTGTGCCCACTGTCCCCACACAACTTTATTTTGTCCAAGTTTTCAGTTGAGTCAGGAGGGTAAATCTGGTTCCCGTTTCTTCACAACGCCTAGTAATGGAAGATGACAAATCATTACCTTCTGAAGGATGGCCTCTTTATAGAAACTTACAAAATTTTATCTTCAGTATTCATAAATTTCACTTTAATGAAATATGGATATTTCCATATCTTTCCTGTTTGGAGCACCAGATGTTCTTTTGAGGTCATTTTGAGTTCCCCCCCCCAAATATATGAAATTAAGTACCCTTACCCCCAAGTAGTTCCTTCTCTGCATTCTGTAGTTTCCTGCACTTCAGAGATGCCTGCGAACTTGCCCAAGCCTCCATGTTTGTCCCCCCCCACACACACAATTTATTCTTGCTGAGGCACACAGTCCTTGCCACATAGTATCTCCCAGCTCATTAACCACTGGCTCATCTGAACTACTGAATACTGTTCCGTACTCAACATTTCACTTCTTTACTTATTCCTACCTCGCGTTACCAATACACTCATTTCTTTGAGGATGTTTATTTAGCGTAGGTGTGTCAGTCTGTACTTTTTTAAAAATGTTATTTATTTTGAGAGAGTGCATGCAAGCAGGGGAGTGGCAGACAGAGGCAGAGAGAGAATCCCAAAGCAGGCTCTGCACTGTCAGCACAGAGCCGGACATGGGGTTCAATCCCATGAACCAAGAGATCATGACCTGAGCCGAAGTCAAGAGTCGGACGCTTAAACAACTGAGCCGCCCAGGCGGCCCCAGTCTGCTTCGTAGTGGCTGGAGCCTCAGATGTCCCTCTGTCGGAGCCCCTTTTCTCCTGGGAGCCCCTGCCATCTTGCCTGCAGGAAAAGCCGGTCACACACTAGCTTCCCAGTGAGGGTTTCTGGAGAACCTGTCTGCCCCGAGGCTGGCAAAGCTGGTGTTGGCTTTCCCGTCTGTCCACCCCACCCAGACAACCATGGTGCAAAACGATCCCCCTTCCTTATTTTTAAACTAAACTACATCAAATGGCTTCTGTTGCCATGCAAACTTAGCTGTGGAGGCTCCTGCCAGGCCAGAGGACTGTCCGGTGGTACTGAGCTAACCACTTGCTTTCCTGTTCCACGGGCATCAGGTCAGGCGATTGTGTAGAGAAAAGAACAAGGTTTTGAAGCTGTGCTCAGCAGGTAGCATGATATATGCACCTGTCTCTTCAGTGTCCCTAGATGCCACCTGTTCCTTCATGGAGAGACCACAATTGTCCTGTCTTCCCTTGGAAGACTATTTTCTCCCCGTACTCTGCTCACAAGCCCACAACTCGACTCGTTCGCCAAATCTTACAGGAGTTCAAGAGTTACAGCAGTTTGATTTCTTTCATGTGAGAGGGAATTTACTTTTTTGTCATGATTACCACTGTGGCAACTGGGGTGGGGGAGATGTTACACGCTAGTTGAATTTCTTCATGGCCTCTGTAGAATTTGTTTTGGGGAATACCGTAACACTGTTGTGCAACAAGTCACACATTTCCCCTCTTTAAAGGGCTTAGCTGGGTGGACAACCTATCTGGGCATGATTTGGGATGGAGTAAAGGACAGTGGGTGAAGTTTCGCCCTCAGGTATGCGTGAGCTCGCATTAATGCCTCTGGCACATTTAAGAGACTTTAGGGAAAAAATCTGAAAAGTTAACTGACCTCAAGTTGAGCAGCAGTAAATATGGGGATCGCAGGGGGCAACCCCCACTCCTGATGAAAGAGGCAGGCTCTGGCTGGCATGGAAGGGGGGCCAAGGCCTTGCCTGATCACATGACTTGTGGTGAAGCCTGACAGACTCGAGAGAACAGGCAGCCAACGTGGGGACCACACCACCAAGCCCCAACTCCTTGATGACTGCACCTTAAGCAAGGCGTTCATGTTTACATGTCAAGCTTTGCCTGGTCAGTTAAAGGGGAAATCAAATCATGCGCACACAGTCTGCTCCATCCAATGTCATTACTCATCCCTGCTGTGCCCCTGAGCTCAACTAGCCCTCTTCCCTCCCCATGCCACCGAGCTCTTCCTTCTTATGATGGAAAATTTGTGCTGTTAACGGAGTATCTTACATTTGCTGAAAGGAAACCTTCTAAGTACAATTTCCCATCAAGTGAAACTCCCCATTCTATGCATTTACCTCCAAGCAAGGCCACCTCTATGACAGGAAGACAGAAGACGCACCCCAAATTCAGAAAGTGAAAAACAACTTGAGAAAATAGGAAATGTTTACACACATTAGTTCTTTATTGGAAGAGGCGGTTCAGACCCATTGATATATGCAAAACTGTAGGACGACAAAATAGGTCATGGGTCTGTCACCTTTTCAATTATTTTACTTAAAATATACTTTATATTAAGCTTTAAGGTCACAGTGTAGGAAATCTCTGTAGTTGCCTTTAAAACTACTCTTAAGGATGATTTCCTGCACCAAATTATGCAGGACTTTAATATACATGCAGAAAAATACACGTATCTTAAGTGCACAGAACACTCAGATATTCAGCACCCAGATTTAGAAACAGTATTACCAGCACCAGATAAATACCGCTTTTCAGCCTTGCCCGAGGCTGACATCCTGATTTCTAACTACATAGACAAGTTTTTCTGTTCTTATACTTTGTGTAGATGGAATCAGTGTGTGTGCTTCTGTGTCTGGATTCCCTCATTCAGCTCTGCAAAACAGAGTGATTATTGCAAGTACTTCTAGGTCACTTGTTCCCAGCGCCCTAGGCTTCTGCAGTGGAATACACCACTCCGGTTCATTCATTCCACTGCATGCATGCCTTCAGAGAATTGTTTCTTGCAGTTTTATGCCAAGAATATTCTAGTATGTCCTTTGGTTGTCATAAACGCACGTATCTGTGAGGTTTGGATTAAAAGGGCACGTGCATGTTCAAAGTGCCTGCTGTTCAAAATGGTCAGACCCGATGGCAACGCCCCCAGCAGGGCACACGTCCTGCTGCTCACATCCTTACCAAAACTGGATTCTTCTTCATGCTTTTCATCTTCACCATCCCAGTGGGTGGGGGTAGTACCACACGGTGCTCTCAATTTGCATTTTCCTGATTACTAATAACGTAACTGTTTCTGCTTATTATCTGTGCGTCCATTTTCTATTTTTTTCTTGTTGATTTGTAAATGCTTTTAAACTTTTTTTCAAAGTTTATTTATTTTGAGAGAGTGTGGAAGGGGCAGAGAGAGAATTCCAAGCAGTCTCTGCACTATCAGTGTAGAACCCTATGCAGGGCTTGAACTCACCAACCATGAGGTCATGACCTGAGCCGAAATCAAGAGTTGGATGCTCAACCAACTGAGCCGCCCAGGTGGCCTGTAAATACTCTTCTTAAGTCACAGGCCCAGGGCTGGAAGCTATGGCCTGCAGGCCATATCCAGGCTGTTGCATGTGCTTTTGAATAAAGTATTATTGGGACACATACATGTTCACAGAGACTGTCTAGCCCACAAAGCTCCAAGTACTTATTATGTGGCCCCTTCCACAAACGTTCACCAACCCCTCCTGTATGCTCAAGTCTGCTGTGGTAGAGCATATGCATGAGTTACAAGAATCTTCTCCCTCTGTTTCTTGCTTATTTGTTTTCTTAATGGGGTCCTTTTGATAAACAGAAGTTTCAAAAAGTTAATATATCCAAATTAACCGATTTTTATTTTATTATTTTTTTTAATTTTATTTATTTCTAGGAGAGAGAGAGAGAGAGAGACAGCGTGAGCAGGGGAGGGTCAGAGAGAGAGGGAGTCACAGACTGAAACAGGCTCCAGGCTCCGAGCTGGCAGTCAGCACAGAGCCCGACGCGGGGCTCGAACCCACGAACTGCGAGATCATGACCTAAGCGAAAGTCGGACGCTTAACAAACTAAGCCACCCAGGCGCCCCTGATTTTTATTTTATAGTTTAGTGACTTTGGGATCTTTAAAAAAAATTTTTTTTAATGTTTATTTTTGAGAGAGACAGAGCATGAGTGGGGGAAGATCAGAGAGAGAGGGAGACAAAGAATCTGAAGCAGGCTCCAGGCTCCAAGCTGCCAAGACAGAGCCCAACATGGGGCTTGAACTCACAAGCTGTGAGACTATAACCTGAGCCGAAGTCAGATGCTTAACCAACGAGCCACCAGGTACCCCTAGTGACTTTGAATCTTTAGAAAAATTTTGCTTGTTGTAAGGTTACATACAGTCTACTAAGTTTTCTTCTTAAAGCTTTATTATTTTACATTTCATATTTAGATCTGCAATCCACCTCAACCCACATTTCTATTTTCTATTAAATTATTAAATGTAATTGCCACACATTTATTAGAACATCTCTCCCATTACACTGGATTATCTTCATCAAAAACCAAGTGACTGTATGGCTGTTTCTGGAAGCTTTATTGGCCCAATGGTCGATTTGTTTATGTATGTGCCAATACCACACAATTATAATCTCCATGGCTTTATGACAAGTCTTCCTTGATATCAGGCAATGTAAGATCTTCCGGTCTATTTCAGAAGATAGCCTTGACTATCATTGGTCTTCTGAATCTTCATTTGAATTTTATAATTAGTTTACTTTTGATTAAAAAATTTACTAGGACTTTTAAGATTGCATTGAATATATGAATTAATTTGGGGAAAATTGAGATCTTTTTAGACTGTCCTGGAACCCATTAATTAAATAGGTCTCTCTCAAGTTTTGTCACATTTTTTTCCCCTGGATACAGGTTTTAAAAATATGGTGTTGGATAATTTTCCCTCTAGGCACTTGAGGATTTTTGATGCTATTGTTAAGTGATATTGCTACTAAGTTTTTCATTTTTTATGTTCACTGCTGGTATATTAAAAAACTTTTTGCATAATGACTTTGTATGCAGGGACTTGCTAAACTTACTCATTAATTATAATGATCTGTGTTTCCTCAGAATTTTCTATGTACAGAATTACGTCAGCTGCAAATAAAAGCGTTAATTCTTTCTAGTCCTTATGCTCTTTATTTTTCTTCCCTGACTCTCCTAGCTAGGTCCTTCTGCAGAATACTGAGTACAATTAGTGACAGTAGATCACTTTGTCTTTTTTTTTTTCATCTTGGGAGAAAACTGTTAATATTTCAGCACTAGGCATGCTACTGATTGTAGTTTTAGATATTTTTCATCCAAGTAAGGAAGTTCCTTTCAAATCCATAGTTTATGGAGAACATAAATGGATGACTTTACCACATGACTTTTCTGCATCCTATATTACTTCTTACCGTGTGATATAGTCCAGGAATTAATTTTTGATTATTAAATGAGCCCTGTGTTCCTGAAGTAGTAAGACCCATTTGATCGTTTTATCCCTTTTCACACCACCCACCTGTTTTGTTCGCCAGAACTGGGTCATGTGACCACTATAAACAAGTTACTGGCTGTCAGAATAGAGTTCTTGTGACCAGTTTAGGCGAATCGGGATTCACACTTTGTGTCATGTGAAGAAACGGTGGACACCTAAACTCCTTCAGCAAGGAGCAAGGGGAAAAAGGACACTGAGTTCATCAACTAAAGCTGTCTGACAGCAACTTGTATTTGCTCTGAAATACTGGGAACAAGGGGCAGTGCACAAAAGAATGGCAGAGTATTCATGTCACATGAACGTAGAGATGAAATTTCTGAATTACGGAATATCAGCACACACTTCACTCAAACCCGTGGGTCAGACCAGCAGAGTGGCAGGAGACGCGTATTTTACAGACTAAACAGTGCAGAGCCCTCTTCCACTGACGTAGACTTAACTCCAAATCATCTATGCATAGGTTATGAAAATAGTATTTTAAAAGCTCTTTTGCTCAAACGTAGTTGAAAACGTTATAAAAAACTATGGGCTTACACTTTATTGATGGGGCATTCATGAAAAACCCATTTGTAAATACCTCCAAACAAATAGAAAAATTATGTATTTAACTATCTGGTACCTATCAAACGTCTCACCAACAATATAATCCCGTGTTAGTACGTTTTGCCACCTTGATACTCAAATTAGAATACTGCCTTTTCCCAAAAAATTCAAATCCAAATTTGCATAGAATTACTGACAGAACATTTTAAAAACATGATAGAAACTACCATATATGTACTGTTCTTATAAACTCCTGATGATTTTATACAATGGTTTATTCAGAGCTGACAGCTTCTGGTGTCTTCCCTATAAACATGTGAATTTACATCAGAAATATGGCTTTTAGTATAACAATTTCCAAGACAATAGATTTTCCCCACATTCATCACTTCGACAGATCTCACCTTGGTGTGATTCCCTGATATGTAAATACAATCTGAATTCCAAAATAAATATTAAATATTTATCAAGTTTCACTCCTGTATAAATTATCTAGTGTTCAATGGGCTGTAGGGTCTTGTTTTGAAGGCTTCGTTTCTCCTTGCATCCTTAGGGATTCTCCTCTGTGAAAAATGCCAGACGAAGAGGAATCCAATGCCCAAAGAATTTTCCCTGTTCGGAAGCACGAACTCTCAGACACCAATCTTGGACTCCCTGTTGGGCCTCGTTATACTCAGAGAGCTCTGACTTCACAGGAAGTCACCCACAGCCAGTACGTTCACACTCCCTCTCCTGTGAATTCGCTGATGGCTATTGAAGGCTGACCTGTGGTGGAATTTTTTCCCACACTCGTTACATTCGTAGGGTTTCTCTCCGGAATGAGTCCTGTAGTGCACGGTGAGGTAGGACTTCTGAGAAAAGACTTTTCCACATTCATTACATTCGTAGGGCTTCTCTCCCGAATGGCTTCTATAGTGTACAGTGAGGTTCGACATCCGAGAGAAGACTTTCCCACATTTGCTACATTCATAGGGCTTCTCTCCCGAGTGGATCCGATGGTGGATAGTGAGATAAGACTTCTGGGAGAAGAACTTCCCACATTCGTAACACTCATAGGGCTTCTCGCCTGTGTGCACTCTTTGATGTCTAAAGAGGGAGGAGTTATGGGAGAAGGTTTTCCCACATTCGCTACAACCATAGGGTTTCTCTTCCGAATGACTTCTATAATGTATAGTGTAGTAGGACAACTCAGAGAACAGTTTCCCACATATGTTACATTCATAGGATTTCTCCCCTTTCGGAAGTGACTGGTGCCCGCTGAAGGCTGAACCATCAAGGAAGATTTTCCCACATTCGTTACATTCATAAGGCTTCTCTCCTAAAGGAGCCGGAGGATGGTCGGGGAGATAGGAGAACTGAGAGAACTTTCCGCATTCACTACATTCGTGGGCTTTCTCATCTGTGTGTACCTTCCGATGTCTGATGAAGGCCGAATTTAAATTGAAAGTTTTGCCACACTCGTTACATTCATAGGGTTTCTCTTCTAAGTGACTTCTATAATGGATGGTAAGGTATGACACCCGAGAGAAGAACTTTCCACACTCACTGCACTGATAGGGTTTCTCCCCCGTGTGTGTCCTCTGATGGGTAATGAGTGTCGATTTTCGGTAGTAGGACTTGCCACAGTCATTACATTTGTAAAGTTTCTCTCCCGTGTGCGTTCTCTGGTGGTCACTGAGGGCAGATTTGCGAGAGAAGGATTTCCCACATTCGTTACAGGGGTAGGGTCTCTCTCCTGAATGGTTCCTCTGGTGCAGGGTCAGATGGGTCTTTTGGCAGAAGGTTTTCCCACATTCATTACATTCATAGGGCTTCTCGCCTGAATGAGTCCTCAGGTGTTGGGTGAGATGTAGCTTCTGACAAAAGGTTTTCCCACACTCATTGCATTTATAGGGCTTCTCCTCCAAGTGGGACCTTCGATGGACGGTGAGGGTGCCCTTTTGGCTGAAGGATTTCCCACATACGTTACATTCATAAGGCTTCTCTCCCGTGTGGGCCCTCTGATGTATGATTAACTTTGACTTTTTACAGAAGGATTTCCCACACTCGCTGCACTCAAAGGGCTTCAATTCCATCTGGGATCTCTGGTAAACGTTAAAATTCGACATCTGAATGAAGTCTGACCTGGAATCCCTCCACTCGTAGGGCTTCTCCCCCATGTAATCTCTCTTATGAGTAAGGAAAACAGCTTCGTTGTCTAAAGCTTCCATGCATTCATTGTATTCAAAGGGTTTCTCCAAAACATTAACGCTCTGAAGAATACCTGCTGCATTTTGAGAATAGCCTTCCCCATTCTGGTTGCACTCATAGGATCTGTCTCCATGGTCCGTCTTCCCGCACTCACTACACTCGCTGGGTTTTTTTCTTGCGTAGCTGCCATCACTGATGATTAATTCCGAGGTGGATTCTAAATTCTTCCCACATGAGACACAAGTGTGAGAAAGGACACCTGAAGGAACCAGGCTTGTTTCCACATTGCACATCGTATCAAATGCATCCTCTCTCTCCTCATTTGGGGTTTTGCTGTTGGTAGAAACAGCTTGCCTTGAAAGTCCATCTCCATTTTCGGGGATTCCCTCTATCAGGTCATCAACTTTCCAGACTTCTAGAAAGGAATAAAATTAAACAAACCTTGTGAATCTGGACACAACAGGTACAGAATGGGCGGACTCTGGCTGTGCGGCCAATCTCCACAAATAAAATAGTCACAAGTGTACACCTGTCGTTCCCCTTAGTCAGACAGACACACATACACATGCATACAGGGGTGGGGCAGGCACAGGGAAGGGACGAGTGTGGGACAGGACTTAGAAGTAGAGACAAAAGGGAGAGTAAACTTATACCAAACACAAGTACCTTTGTTACTTCACAAACTATGTTCAAAACTTTGGTAGAAATGGTGAAACAAACCCAAGAAATGAGGAGCAGAAGGCAATGTCACTGAAAAAGCACTAGATTAAGGCAGACCCAGGGGGAGTCTTGAGCACATCGGTCTGGTGGTAGAAGAATAACTGCTGCACGAACATTCAAAGAAAATATTCCAATACGGACTACGTTTGGTAGTAAGAGATTACCATTTACGTTAAACTATAAGATACTGCTTCACACTTAGGTTTCCATGGTGACATCCGCACTAGCCCAGACCTTCCCAAATCTTTGCCTTTCTATTCTGTACATAATTCCAAATAATCATTCTAAATTCCAATCTTCTCATCTGTAGAGACAGTCCCCCAACCAGGGCTCTGACTCCCCAGCCCTGGTCCACCTTCACTTGGAAGGAGATTTCCAGGCACATAACTGTCCAAAAGAAATGCAAGACGGACCAGAAGGCAGGAGAGCTGCTGGCTGCTCAGATAGGCTCTCTGAGGTGTTCTGATGGGCCAGCGTAAGCCTGACTGCACTTATTTGCACAACAAAGGGTGGCGGTGGGAAGCACAGAGGCGAGGCTGCCTCGATGCTGCCTGGATTAAAATTCGCCACCAACACACTACTGGCTGCGACTTGAGTAAGTTACTTAACTGTGATGCAGCTTCATGCGGCTGAAATGTACCCAGATCACCAGGCTGGGAAGGGACCAACTCAGTGCACACAAATCGCTCAGAACAGTATAGGAAATGAAACAAATGCCCATCCATTTTCCTTCAACTTCAATTTCCTAAAACCAATCATGCCCCTGACATAACACTAAACGTATCCTGAAAACAAACAAGAGTTTCCTACATGCAGGTTTCATTTGTCACGAAACCTTGAATGTCAGATTTTTTTTTTTTAATATTTTTTTATTTATTTCTAGGAGAGAGAGAGACAGCGTGTGCAGGGGAGGGTCAGAGAGAGAGAGGGAGACACAGACTCCGAAACAGGCACCAGGCTCTGAGCTGGCAGTCAGCACAGAGCCCGACGCGGGGCTCGAACCCAAGAACCGCGAGATCATGACCTACGCGAAAGTCGGACGCTTAACCGACTAAGCCACCCAGGCGCCCCTTGAATGTCAGATTTCTAAAGCTGTCCCCACAGCATTGACTTTTACTTCTATGTATCTTACACATTTTTGGAGCATCTGAGCCATTATCATCCACAATCGGTACAACGCCCCTGAGTTCTGTGCTCAGAAATCTACACCATCCCTGGGACCCCAAACCCCAAATACCATAGAAAAAAAAAGAATTTATCATTCACCAGTAAGATTTTTCATTTTCTGGACTCACTCAGAAATATACTCAAACTAGAAATCTGCTAATCTTCCAAAAATACCTTCTGCTCCGGAAGCCAGGCTACACCCACTTATTCCCAACCACCAGCCTGTGCTCTTGCCCAGTTCATTCAACGTGGCTTCCAGCGCTGGCTACATCCAAACCCATCTATGCTTCAGGGGAAGCTCTAAAATATTTATCAGATCTTGGGGTGCCTGGGCAACTCAGTCAGTTAAGTGTCTGACTTCAGCTCAAGTCACATCTCACAGTTCATGGGTTCAAGCCCTACACTGGGCTCTGTGCAGACAGCTCGGAGCCTGGTTGGATTCTCTCTCTCCCTCTCACTCTGACTCTCTCCCCTACCTGTGCTTTCTCAAAATAAAACAACTTTAAAAAAAAAAAGCATAAAGTTGAACAAAAATCAAAATGACTGCAGTAATGCTTTCGTGAAGCTCAATTTTTTTTTTTTTTTTTTAGATTTTCTTTTTAAGTGATCTCTGTACCCAGTGTGGGGCTCAAACCCATAACCCTGAGATCAAGAGTTGCACACTCCTTCAAACGAGCCAGCCAGGCACCCCGAAGCTCGATTTTAAAGTAACCTTTTTCCTGTCTTCCTCTCCTCTTTTCTCAGCCCATTCCAGGAGCCCGTCACCATCTGAAGACCTGCCCTGCCAAGACCAGCTAGGCCCTGTATTTCCCCATAAAGTGCCAGCCCCCTCCTCCTGGAGGCTTGGAGTTGGCTACAGCGGGCTGCAGCCTCCTTTGGCAAGCAAAGCAATGAAACTGCTGTTCCTCTTTACCCCAAATTCTGTCTTCCTGTAGTATTTTAGCTGTAAAGCACCGAGGTCCATTTTCAACAATTCAGGGCCTGCACTCAACACCGCCAAGCAGAGCGCGGGTGCACCTTGGCGGGGCAGCTCAGGGACAGGTTTTGGTGGCTGAGTGCACAAAGGAGGAAGCGAAATGGGTAGAAAACCAGCTCGGGGCATTTCCCAGCAAGGAAGAAAAGACAAAAAGAACAAACCTGAGTGTCTCAAGTTAATTTTTTTCTTAGGCTTCTGAATGCCGGCAAACAGGAATTCTTTGCTACCGGGGAGGGTAAGTTACTGGGGAAGCGGGGACAAGAGGAAGGCACCGGATCCCCACAAGTGCAAATCAAATGCAAAATCAGGAAAGCGGCCTACACAGGGCCCGGGGCACCGAGGGCTCAGGGCAGCCGTCAGTGACTCCCAGGTGTCTGGGGCCACCACGTAAAACCGTAACGTGCTCCTGACCTACCTGGATGACTCCGACACGGCAGTTCCCCTTCCGCTACCCAGGGCTCCTCTCCCTGCTCCAGCTTGAGGATCACTTTTGGTTTGGTGCTGTCGTACCCTGTGAGTGAGAAACGGAGGCATGCTTGGGCCGCTGCACGCCTCTCAGGTCTCTGAGTCCTGAGCGAGTGCCCAGATTTGGACCTTAGGAAAATCTGGACATTTGATGGAGAAGTAAACAAATAACCCACCGGGGGCCCAAAGGGAGTTAAATGGTCCTATCATTTATTTCTTCAAACTTGAGGGAAAAAAAAATTCATTAAACTGGCAACCCCCCCACCGCAACAATCGCACAGCAAGCTCTCCTCACCCACGGAGACCAGGTGGCTGTAGTTCTCCAGCATCACGTCCCGGTAGGTGGTCTTCTCCTCAGGTTCCAGCTGCTGCCACTCCTCCTGAGTGAAGTCCACGGCCACGTCCCTGAACGACACTGGCCCCTGTAATGGCACCGTGATGGAAACTGGTAACATGGAGGAGACATGTGGGCACAGGAGCTCACCAAGCTTGCTGGGAAGGTGAAATATGAACACTGAAAACCTGCTTTTGTGTCACGGATCGTGGAATGAAAAACCATACTGGAAACACACTGCCTTTGGGTCCTTTTTTTTAAGTGTTTATTTATTTTTGAGAGAGAGAGGGACAGAGTGTAAGCAGGGGAGGGGCAGAGAGAGAGGGAGGTACAGAATCCCAAGCAGTCTCCAGGCTGTGGGCTGTCAGCACAGAGCCCGATGCGGGGCTCGAACTCACGGACTGTGAGATCATGACCTGAGCCGAAGTTGGGTACTTAAATGACTCAGCCACCCAGGTGCCCCTGCTTTTGGGTCCTTTAATTGCCCCCTAAAAACCAAACCCCCAAACCAGAAAACCAACAGAATTCCCATTCTCCCAGCAAGCTGAGTTTCGGGGGATGTGAGGTTGAGTAAGGCACCTGCCAGGGAAACACCATGCAAATAGACACGCATCTGCTTCCTCAGCCTTCTCTCAGGCCACCTTTGCTGGTGGGACCTCGGGCCCCCTCTTCACAGGGTGCACACGGGGCACGGTCCCCCGCCTCCTCCTTCCTGCTGGGCATGTCTCCTGCTTCAGGTCTTTCATCTTGGACTTTTACCCTCACGGCAGCTACCTGGGGGCCCCTGCGTGGCTAAGTATTGGCCCCAACAGCGCGTCTCAAATACCCCACTCCTGCAGCAGTAACTGTTGGTTGTGGTGATGAATGCCCGACACGTAAGGGTCTACCGCATGGAGAGTGCCTTAACAAACTTTGAATGTTCCGCTGCCAGGCTGGGCGGCACAGACGCAGCTCGGCACTGCTCCGGGTTCAGGGGCAAAGAAGATGCGGAGGTGTACAAGGACCGATGGCAGAAAACACGCAGCATCGGTACTGAAGAGGATGGCGGGGGGAAGAACAGGGCAGAGAGACCCAGAAGGCCCTTTCTCAAGGACACCTTTTCTTTTTTTAACGTCCATTTGTTTAATCTGAGAGAGAGTGCAAGCAAGGGAGGCAGAGAGAGAGAGGGAGAGAGGGAGAGGGAGAGGGGGAGAGGGAGAGGGAGAGAGAGAGAGAGAGAGAGAGAGAGAGAGAGAGAGAGAGAGAATCCCAAGCAGGCTTCACACTGTTAGCACAGAGCCCAACAGGGAGCTCAAACTCACAAACCGTGAGGTCATGAATTGAGACGAGATCAAGACTGACACTTAATTGGGGCGCCTGGGTGGCTTAGTCGGTTAAGCGTCCGACTTTCGCTTAGGTCATGATCTTGAGGTTCGTGGGTTCGAGCCCCGCGTCGGCCTCTGTGCTGACTGCCAGCTCGGAGCCTGGAGCCTATTTCAGAGTCTGTGTCTCCCTCTCTCTCTGACCCTGCCCTGCTCACGCTGTCTCTCCCTCTCTCTCCTAGAAATAAATAAAAATTAAAATTAAAAAATTAAAAAAAAAAAAAAGACTGACACTTAATGACTGAGCCACCCAGGCACCCCAAGGACAGCTCTGTGACAGTAAGAGTTGACTCTAATTCAGGAGAGTAAGCCGAATGTACACGATTACTTTCCAGCCTTGAAAACAGAATCAAATCTTCTAAAAGTCCAATTCAAAGCAACATAAAAACAGAGACTGTTACCTAGCGCAGGAGGCGGCAAGGAGACTCCAGAGCTGTGCAGATGGGAGTCGAGGAGAAGTGGAGAACCAAGAGCCATGGGGCACACGCTGGGCACAGCAAGAGAGGACAGGGGACTGTATCGGAGCCCTGGAGGTGCCCAGGCCCATCGGGAGGGCCCGGGGTCCCCCATCACCGCGGAAGTGAAGGGTGAGTAACCCCAGGCCTACCTGAGCAGCCTGAGCGGCTCCCAGCATCAGTGCACACAGCAGCCGGATGAGGGTCAGATGGTAAGAACGCTGGCCACGGGCACCGTGGCCACACAACAAGGAACAGCGCAACACACTTCAGGCCTTCGCAGTGTGGGTGGCCACGCGCTCACCGTCCACATGGAAACTTCTGTCTGGGGTAAATGTTAAAGCAATACAAGGAATACAGAACACGAGACGGTTTCAGGCAAACCAGGACACACATCAGCTCTGTCAGTGTTGGACAGGGATGCTCCTTGAGGCGGTGCTTGGAAAAGCACTCCCACAGAAAAGCGACTTGAGCGACTTCACCATGTCGGATTCTATGTCTCCCTCTCTGCCCCTCCGCCACTCACGGGCACGCGTGCGCTTGCACGCGCTCTCTATCTCTCTCTCTCTTTCAAAAATGAATAAACAGTAAAAACATTTTTTTCTTAAACAGCATTACCAGGGGCATCTGAGTGGCTCACCAGGCTAAGTATCTAACTCTTGATCTTGGCTGGAGTCACGATCTCACAGTTTGTGAATTTAAGCCCTGCATCAGGCTCCGCGCTGTGGAGCCTGCTTGGGATTCTCTCTCTGCCCCTCCAACTCTGTCTGTCTCAAAATTAATTAATTTAAATAGAATTACCATATAATCCAGCAATTCTACTTTTGAGTGTACGCTTAAAAGCACTAAAAGCTGGGTCTTCCAAGAGATATTTATACATTCTTGTTCATAACAGCATTATTTACAATCGCTAAAACATACAAGCAACCCAAGTGTCCATGCAAGGATGGAGATGAACAGATAAGCAAAATATGGTCCATGCATACAATGGAGTGACATTCAGCCTTAGAAAGAAAGGAAATCCTGGCACCTGCTCCAACACGGATCAACTCTGAGGACATTATTTATGCTCAGTGAAAATAAACCAGTTACAAAAAACAAAGAGCATGCGATTCCACTTAGATGAGCGATCACACCCACAGAGACAGAGAGGAAGATAGCTGCAGGGGCGAGGGGGAGAGGGAAGTGAGTATTTGATGTGGAACAGAATTTCAGTTTTGCAAGATGAGAAGTGTCCTGGGGGTGGCTGGTGGTGAGGGAATGTACTTACTGCCACTGAACTGGGGATTTCAAAATGGTTAAAACAGCTCGTTTCATATCATGTGTAATTTACCACAGTAAAAAAAAAAAAAAAAATGGAAAAAAAAGTGAAGTGATATCTATCTAAACACACATCTGTAAACCACCAACTTCTAGAGCTCACAGATGTCCCCTCCATAAGAGAAAGTGCAAAATTGGGTCATTAGTTGAATATATTCACGTTAACTATTAGTAATTTTTCCCTCAAAAACTGAAATAATACAAAAATGAAGGATTCTCAAATAGGGAAAACAGAATAAGTAAAAGATAAGCATCAAGGTGACCTGCCCAACAATAATAGAATCAATTTCATAAAGGAAACAACTTTTCCTTTTTCTACTGATTTATATTTTTTAATAAATTAAGCAAGATATCGCTTCCATAAAATGAGAACATTCTCCTAAAAACAGCCCTCAGAGAATGTTTAGAAATTAAAGACCAAATCGTTGAATTTTTAAAAATCCCCAAGGAACAGACTTAAGTAACAAATGGGACACAGAACATATAATCTAGGAAATCTCTCAGATAACTAGAAATTGAAATGATGAGATAAAGCTTGAGATACATGGGGCGCCTGGGTGGCTTAGTCGGTTAAGCATCCAACTTTCGCTTAGGTCATGATCTCGCGGTTCGTGGGTTCGGGCCCAGCGTCGGGCTCTGTGCTGACTGCTAGCTCAGCGCCTGGAGCCTTTTTCAGTCTGTGACTCCCTCTCTCTCTGACCCTCCCCTGTTCACGCTGTCTCTCTTTCTCTTTCTCTCCCTCTCCTAGAAATAAATAAAACATTTAAAAAAAAAAAAAAAAGCTTGAGATACGAAAGCCAGATCTGACGGATTCAACATTTTCAGAATGAACAAGAAGGACAGAAAAAAAACAAAAAAAAAACGATACCTGAGCTGAAGAATCACGTAAGCCTTCGCATCAGAAGGGGCCATCCAGTTTGCAAACAAGACTACTGGGGTGGGGGTGGGGATACAGATCTAGGAACCTCCTGAGATAAAATGCCCAAAACTGAAAAATTAAGGGAAAAAAAATCCTAACAAGTTACAGGGGTGGGAAAAATACCCTAATCACCCTCTGGGAACTGTCATTCCACTTCTCACCTGAGAAAAACCCACGGAGAAGTGCCCTGCTTGCAAAGCAAAAGGGATTTTGAACCTAGAACCGTACACGAAGCGAAGCTATCATTGAGGCCTGCATACACTGTGAAGATATTTGCAGGGAAAATTTGCAGCTGGTTCAGGCCAAGTGAGCTTGTGAACTGCCATGGAAAGTAAGAACCTTCTGGGTTCTCAGTCCCCAAGGCAAGGAGCAGCGGGATTAGAAGACCCATCAATCAATAAATACGACAGATGAAATTACATAGTATCTCTTATACCAACACAAACACCCACAACAAAATATCAGCAAATGGAATCCAACACAGATTGAAACGATAACATATAATATCTAAGTGGCACTTAACTCCAAAATTACAGACCCGTTTACTCTTTGGAAATCCACTAACGTAACATGCCAATGTAATACAGCTAAGGAAAGACTTTTATCTCCACGAAGATGCTGCCAACAACTCTGACAATATTCAAACTGCATACATGATTCAAAAATCTTCACAAAAATAGGAACGGATACTTCACTAGCATGGACATACGTATACGCACACACTCTTGTAAGTAAAGTACGTGTGATACATGCATACACACACACATCTCAATCACACACAAGCACATGTGTGCTTTTTAAGTTTACACAGATCCGGGCATGCACACACACATCTATTTATGGAGCCTTCTCAGTTCAAAAGTCAGGGTTTTAATTAATGGACAAACACTAGACACAAACACTAGACTCATTCCCAGTAAGATCAGGAACAAGGCAAAGCGCTCACTATTCCAACTGGCAAAAACAACCAGAGGCACAGCAATCAATAGAGAAAAAGTAAAACTAGTTCTATTTGAAGGCGATATACTATACC